CTTCCGCTCGTGGTCTAGTGGATAGCGCTAGTTCGTGTGTACACAGAGGGAAGAGAGTGCTGAACTCTTCTCGCATTAAAATCGAAGGCAAAGTACCGCAGGAGGGGAGGGTAGAGAGGGGCTCTTCTGTGTGACCACGGGTTGGAGTAAGCGGCACTAGTGCTGTGAGCGCTGATTTGAAGTGAAGACCAAAAAAAAAAAAAAAAGGCAGGTAGGACGTAGAGTCTCGACATGAAATCAACTCGTGCTTTTTTGTATGGTCAACTCACCGTCTCCGCGAACCATTTGTTGTATGTGACCTGCTCGTCCCGGGAGATGGTGAGACCGGTCCCCTCCTGGTTCCAGTTCTGCCCGCCGGGGAAGAGGGGGCCAAGAACAACAACAATTGAACAAGGGAGAGACACAGATCAACGACATCAAGACGTGGCACGTGGGACGACGGATCGCTCACGCAGGAGCGTAGCAGGAGAAGGGTAGCGATCGGTCAGCATGTTCTCTGCAGCACAACAACCACGGTGAAAATGTTTCGGTGCACTGGGAAAACGGATACTACTGTGAATCCGTGCGTTCATTGCGTGGGCTCGATACTTGTGTAAAAGGACGAAAACTCGCGACCCGCGTTGGTGCGATTCACACCGTACTTTGAAAGTTGAATCACTTGCAAAAAAACTATGGCAATGATCACGGGCGTGCGGGTAGGCCATGAACGCCATGTATTTCTCCTTCAACCGCCCCATCTTCCGTATACCATGCCTCTTCTCCAACTCCCAGTCCAACCCCGTCCCTAGCACATACCATGTGGAATATACATCCCCCCGCGGGTTTTCGTCGTTTGGCAACGACGTTGTAAAACAAGCCGCCGCCCCCGGTGTTTGCCATCGGGGTTGGGTTTTCGTCGCTTGGAAGCGATGTTGTAAAACCAGCCGATCACTTCGTGAGCTCGGCAACCAGGTTACTGCTTTTTGTTTCCTTTTTTTTTTTTTGCGATAACCATGAATGGTGGTCGAGTAGATTATGTTGTGCGGGATCGAGAACCCTCACTCCGCGCAAAGGAGATAATCGCACAACGTTGTGTTAAAATGGTCAAGCACCCTCGAGGCCGTTACACAGTGCTTATAGCCGTCTCTGGAAGTGAAAGCACCAGAAAATAAATTAAGTCATAAGCAGCTGGCATCCGTACGGAAGGAAGAAAGCACAAGATGCCGAACACCCTAGCAGGATGCAGCACACCCTTCATGCGACTCGCCGCATACCTCACGGCGCTTCGCGCTTTGTGATGTGAGAGCCTGGTCCGGTGAGAACCCGGCGTGCTGAGAACCCGGCGTGCTCCGTCCCGGCTTTGTAGGGATGCTAGGTCAATGGTCTAACGACTACGGCATTCACGACTATGAGTACACCCCCCCCCCCCCTACCCCACCGCCTTGTCGACTTCGCCGACAATAACTTGATTACTTTCCGACCCGGGGCCACGCACACAAAGACGTGGGGGGCGGCTCCTCCCGGACCCTCTCCGGTGGTCTGAGTGGTGAGTGGGCACTCACAGACATGTTGTCGGGCTCGATGGCGTCGCAGTTCATCCTGGCCGCCTTCTCCACGCGGGCCTCCATGAGATCCCTCACGCTCTGCGACCAAGCCCACAACGCGGCAACGGTATCACGACGTGATGAAGGTCAAAAACAAAGCAAGAGAGTGGTGTTGTTGTTGCTGTTGTTGGGAATAGTGTGCTGAATCATATGCAGCACAGCGTAGAGTAAACACGAAAACGCGGACGAGTCTACACAGGCCACTTTGTCGTGCTCTGCTCAGGCAGCGCACTCGTTGGCGGGGGTGGCGTTGTGTCTCCTCAGAACGGCACGCCTTGTCGTGGCCATCATGCTTCATGCGTACCTGCTGGGTGATGTCGAGGAAATTCTCGCCTTGCCAGTCGTCCCAGGAGTTCCCGACCGCGGAAGACGGGAAGGCACCGGCGTCCTCGCGCCACGACTCCACGGTGCCGACGGAGATGTAGCAGGAGACGTACTTGCCCTTGCCGTGCAGCTCGTCGATCGTGTCTTGAGCGTTGTCTGAAGCGACGGCGACGACAACGGCATATTAATTGAACAGAAAACGGCGAGGGCGACGATGGCGACAACGACAGTCAGCAACACGACAACAGCAAAAAATTCAGCGATAGCGCTGGTTTCCATACATCCGGTTGGGGCCATGGGCCGTGAAGGAGGACGGGGGAGCAGGGGGGGGGGGGTTGACAGCCATCGACTATTGCACGCCCGATTCCAGTCGATGCGTTAAGTCGTGCAAACAATTGCGTTTGTTTTTGTTCTTCTCTGGATAAACATGACCAACAACCCGCAACAAGCACGAAAAGCGGCGAGAAAACACACGAGCCACTTCTTCTGGCATCGAACGAAAGCTTCTATTTGGCAACCCTCCTCACCCATGTCGATAAAGAACACGTCGACATCGACGTCAGTGTCCACCGGGGTGTTGAGGTTGTAGTTCCAAGTGTCCCCGACCTTGGGTACCCAGGTGCCCCCCGATGTGGGGGGTGTCGGCGCCGGAGGAGTTGGGGCAGGGCTCGTGGGTGCGGAGGGATCGGGTGTAGGGGGGGAAGTCGGCGAAGGGTTCGTGGGTGTAGAGGGCTCTGGGGTAGGGGGAGTCGGCGTGGCGGGAGTTGGGGCGGGAGTAGCTTCCGTTGGCGAGGCAGGGGTTGTCGGCGTCGAAGGCGACGGTGTAGAGGGTGTTGGCGCGGGGGCGGGGGGTTCCGTGGTGAGGAAACCCAGGACGGAGTCGCAGTCGACGTCCCTAGACGAGTCGGCGCAGCTGCACAGCGGGGCGTCCAGCTCGAGGTTCTTTTTTTAAGCAACAGGAGGTAGGATGGCCAAAGGGTAATGGGAGGGCGGTACACAGACGAAGGTTGGCCGTTGATGCGCGGGTTCTCGTTGAAACGGCAAGAAGGGTATCTTAGCTGTCGCACACATAAATTAAACTTATATTCATGGACTTTCATCGATCGAACCGGGTACAACGAGGCGCGGGGACGTAGACGTTTGCTTGTAGAACCAAGCGAGACCTGCGCTTTGGAGACAACCAACCACAGTTCACAACAATTCTTGAAAGTAAATCTCTGGTATTGGGGGGTTTCTTGAATGTAGTCGAACAACCGTTTATTTATATCGAAATCATAATCAATCCTGCAATAAATTATCGATCTCAAAGAGGTCCAGACAACAGCTCGCAAGGTCAGTCTTTTATCTCTTTCCTCCTTCACCTTGAAGATGGTGTCGATACCGAGCGCGTTGGACTCATCACACACGCCGTAGTCCTTGCTGTACCTGGAAAATGAAACGTGACACGCGAAGGAAGGGGCGGGAAAGGGGCTTTAGTTTTTTTTGGGGGACTTCTGACTTCCCACGCAGGGAGCTGAAGTTGACAGGGCGGGATACTCTTCCAGGGGACCGTTGCTCAAGAAGGCGTCTCCCAACCAAAGTTTGTTGCATGAATACGAGAAAATACACCGGTGTTGTCATTGGAAAGAGAATTCCGATGGCTTGGGGCAAGCCACACACAAATTAACACACTGGTCTTTTGAGAACTCACGCGCAGTATCCCTGACGAGCGGTTTGCCTCTATCAACGCCAAAAGACACGCAGACCTTACAGCATGCGACGCGTCTATCTGGCGGCTCTGCTAGGCGCACTCACTCCACATTGAAGACGGGCTTGTCCTTCAGCAGGAACGGCACCGTGTACACCTTGGTTTTCACAGAACGAAGAGCGTTTGGTTGGGGGGGGGGGGGGGGGTCAGGGGCCCCCGGGGGGATGGAAAAACCAAAAAAAATTAAAGTCTAAGAGATCGCACGGGGGCTTCGTGCGGTTGGACCCGAAGAACGTTGTGTGTTCCCCACCATGGGCAGTTTCCGTTGTTGATAATTGCAGTTTCCGTCGTTGATAATGGCACATTCTGCCCTGCCACGTGGGTTCGACCAACCTCTGGTCACTTGCTGTTTTGGTGCAGAGTATGGCCTGTATCGAGACTATATGGAGAGCCTCTTGAGGGGACGACATGTGAGCCGAGACTGCGCGCGCTAGTATGGGCAGACGAGAATAATACGCAAGGTATGCCTAGAAGTATCGCCAACCAAAACGAGCATCGTGAAACCAACCTCAGAGCAAAACAAATACTTCGAGTATATGTACGAAGTAGAAAACAGTCGAAGCAGCAGTGGCAGCAACAGCGGAAAAAAAATAGAGTTAAAGTTCACGTGTACTCACGCCGCACTCGAACTCCTCGTGACACTCCGCGATGGCGAAGTCGTAGTACGAGTTCAGGTCCCCCACGAGCTCAAAGCTGTCCTTGATTCCCACCCGCATTCCGTTCTCTCGAACCTTGGGGGCAACAGACAAAAAAAACAAGGCATGAGCCAAGGCAAGCAAGCGGCGTTCCGGCGGCCAGGAGATCTAGTCTAAGGCGTTACGACGCCGTAGCAAAGACACACATTCGAAGCCTTTCTGGCGGCATCACAATCCTAAAGTGTGGTACCAGCGAAGCACCATCATTCGCAATTCCCGGAAACGTGGTCTGACAATATCTGTATGATGATCGCGCTCTACGTAGCGCCCGTTCTACTGATGCTACATCGTACCGCACACAGCAATCTCCGTCCTTCTTTTACCGCTCGTTGCGGAGACCTGGGCCTCAGGGTCCTGGCCGGTATCTAGAATAATAGTACTTTTGTATCTTATTAGCACTCACCAGCAACGCGAACCATATGTTGTAGGCGACCTGGTCGTCCCTCGAGATGGTGAAGCCGGTGTTCTCCTGGTTCCAGTTCTGCGGGGGGAGTTCATAATCACCGGTGGAAGAGAATGAAATAGCTATGCCAAAATGAAACGAGAAAAAGCTCTGATGACTCTGGCGCACGAATGCCAACATTCAGACCGCAACCTGTGTCTCCTGCGATGATACCAGAGCTTGAACCGTTTTTTCTCCCAGAACCTTGACACTTTTAAAAGGACGGAGCTGTGTACGAGCTCGACATTTTGCTGGGAGTAGAGGTATACCACGCCGCCAGCGGTATACTGCTACACACACGGGGGGGGGAGGAACCAACAAATCAAGGGCTTGTCGGCAGTATTGACTCACAGACATGTTGTTCGGCTCGACGGCGTCGCAGTTCGTGCTGGCGGCCTTCTTGACGCGGGCCTCCATGACCTCCCTCACGCTCTTCCCAGGACATGCGCCGAGGAAAACACGCGAAAAACAAACGCCGATCGCAGCGAGCGATGATGTCAGGAAACGGGAAGAAATCATGCGTGCGTTCTTCTGAGAGCGGCACGGATACACCGAGCGAGTCCTAAGTAAATAAGAGGCATAGGTTAACCCGTTCAGAAAATAACTAACTTTTAACTAGGTGCAAAGGCTTCCTGCGTACCACTTACGAGGTGGTACGGGAGATTTTTTTTCATCGCCGTGTCGACACTCTCTGAGACGTGGTCGTTTCCGTGTTTTTCCACGGCTGGCTGTGCAACACGAAGTGGCTTCGCGCCTATTCTAATAGGTACGTCGTAACGCCCTAGGGTCGATACAAAGAGCTCATGTGATTGTTCGTGCTCCCGACAGACCCAAGAATACGGCGCCCCGGCGTTCCATCTTGGAAGAAGCGTCAGTTGGACGCTTGCATGCTTCTGCATTATATGGTACCTCCTGGGTGATGTCGAGGTAGCTCTCGGCTTCCCATTCTTCCATGCGCTGCCCGATCACGGAATCCGGGAACAACTCGAAGTCCTCGCGCCACGGTTCCGCTGTTCCGACGGAGATGTAGCAGGCGACGTACTTGCCCTTGGCGTGCAGATCGTCGATCGTGTCTTGAGCGTTGTCTGGAGCGACGACGACAACGACAACGACGGTGGCGACGAGAATTATATTAGCAACAACCACGACGATCACCACCACCACGACCACCACGACGAACACAACAACAACAGCAACAACAGCGACGAACACAACAACAACAACAACAACAACAACCGATCCGTACTCCGTGAAGAACCATAGAGCGCGTGTCACGACCTCGTCTGGTAGTATCTACTTCGACGCCCATCCCGAACAAGACTGCTACACCCAAAATGCACTACACCCAATATGCAACGGGTCGAGAATCCCATAAAACCACCGCTATCGCCGCGGCTGGCTGCAACCGGCAGAAGATCGGACTCTCCTCACCCATGTCGATGAAGAACACGTCCACGTCCACGTCGATGTCCACCGGGGTGTCCAGGTTGTAGTTCCAGCTATCCCCGACCCTGGGAAGCCAGGAGCCTGGCACCGCCGTAGGTGATTCCGTGGCAGGGGTCCCGGCCGTCGATGATGTCGGCACCGGTGTCGGACTGGCGGTCGCTTTGGTACTAGGCGACGGCGTGCTTGGAGCGGGGGGTTCCGTGGCAGCGGTCCCCCCGGTGGGGGGTGATGTCGGCGCAGCAGGTGAGGGCGGTTCGGCAGTCGGCGAAGGCGTGCTTGGAGCGGGGGGCTCCGGGGTAGGGGCCGGTGCCGCCGTTGTGGTGGTGGTGGGCGCGAATCCCGTGACCAGGCTGCAGTCGTGGTCCCTCGAGGGATTGGCACAGCTGCACATGGGGGCCTTCAGGTCGTAGTTCTGCAGAAATAAACGTATCGGCGGAACACGGGCGGATGGCGTCGGGGGACGGGGGCAGGGGTCGCCGGCAGATTTACCGTCTTGCCAAAACAAGTACAAACAAAATTTGATACCAACTTTACCGCTGTGCACAGCCCGTAAGTTGCCTGTTGCCCGTCATGCATGCCTCTTGCTGCATTTGTCACCGCCGGGCTCCGCCTTGGTAGTAAATTGTTCGTCGAACGTCAGGGCTGTAACCGAGCTTCTCGTCGTCGTGCCTACCTTGAAAATGGTATCAATGCCCAGCGCATTAGATCCATCGCACCCGCCGTAGTCTTTGCTGTACCTGAAAGTAGTTGGAGGTGGAGTCGGGACGGGGACGGGGGCGGGGATGTAACCGACTTGGTTCCGGCTTCGGTCGGCCCTGTAACAGCAGGAAGTTTTTGTGCAGCAGGAACACCCACACTTTTGCTAAACCCTCCAACAACGTCATCAATAACATCAACACACATTCATCAGAGCCCCCCCCCCCGCCCCCGCCCCCGTAGCCATGCCGGAAGTCTTAAGGCTCTCGCAAACAAACTGCCTTAACGTGATGTCGGCAGAGGCTAGAGTATCGTGCCGGCCGGCCCGGCACCTCGAACAACAGAGTATCGCATCTAGTTTTGCGTTTGTAGAGCGAACTCACTCGACGTTGAAGACGGGCTTGCCCTCAGACAAGAACGGGATCTGGTACGCCTGCCACGAACGAGAAGGGAGAACAAGTGCACGTATTTGTCGCACCGGGAGAGGGGGCGGGGGGGTAAGAAGGCTTTTGTGTATGGTGCCAACGATGCAGAAACGGTCCCTCCTTGGAAGCAAGGCTTGCTCTTGTTCGTTGGACGTTGCCATTTCGACCCGGAAGCGCGGCAGGTGGCACATGTTTTGATAACTTCTAGAGCATGTCGATGTGCGCCACAGGAACAAACAAAACAGCGCAAGTTGCATGAGAGCAACAACGACTACTATCCGAGGGCTGATCGCAAAGCCTACTCACGTCACACGCATCCCACTGGAGGCACTCAACGCTCACGGCGAAGTCGTAGTACATGCTCGTGTCTTCAATCAACGAATGGCCCGCTTTCAGGCCAACCTTCATGCCGTTCTCCTGGACCTGAACCGAAACAGCACGAGAGAGCGGAACGGCAAGCACAAGAGAGCGGCGAGATTTCCGCCGTACGGACGACAACAAACAAGAAGCCGCAGGAACGGAGCAAGTAGTGGACGATTGGATTCTGTGTGGCAAGTCCTGCTATGGCAATTCGCCGAGAATCTTCATAACGGCCACCACAACGGCAGTGAGCGACGAGCTGTGGGAATAGAACAAAGTCGAAACTTCATACGGAGCCTGTGGCTAGAGTACTGCGTACATCATACATACGCACATACATGGATGATTCGGAAGCGAGCGCCGACAACTATGTACAGGAAGCGATGATAACTCAGTTTATGGCCTTGGGGAGGACTGGGACACCCCTTGGTGTGAAAAAACGTTCTTAACCTAGCGGTCTTGGGCCGTGCCACCGCATCGGTGGGAAGACGCCCACCCCTCATCCTGACCCTGCATCTTCTCGGGGCAAAAAGCTACTGGTATGAGTTCGATTTGCGGTGGTTGGTTGGTTTTCCTTACACCATGCAAAGACTAGATATATATATGGCACTCACCAGTTCCGCAACCCACTTGTTGTAGGAGATCTGTTCGTCCTTCGAGATGGTGAACCCGGAGTCTTGTTCGTTCCACACCTGCGATTTTGTTTTTTGTGCGGTGGACGAGTCAACAAGAGAATGGCCGCAGTATGTGATTCATGCTCTTGGGGTAGACCTGCTATTTCCTGCCATCACATGACTTCTGTGCAAACGCGGACGCTGTCTAAACAGCCGCCGTCGAAATTGCCAAACACGGCAAGTACTACCCTTCCCGACAGAGAGGCCCCGTGCCGAACGGCGTGCGGAGAGAGAGAGAGCTTGTATGTATGAACGACGAGCGAGCACACCGGGGGGTGCGTGTTGCTGCCGTATTGTCCCCGCGGCGACTCACGGAGATGTTGTCCGGCTCGACGGCATCGCAGCCCTTGCTGGCCGCCTTCTTCACGCGGTCCTCCATAATCTCCCTCACAGACTGTAACACTCGAGAACACGCAAGCCAAGCGCGGAATAATCATCGGACGGTGGGCGGGCGGGCGGGCGGGCGGGCGGGCCAACGGTGAATCGTGCCTACAGGCAGTAGGGAAGAAGGGTCGAGCGAGACACCCTCTGGTTGGGGTTTCGTTTTGCACTTCTTTTATCCCCTTTCGTCGAACCCGGCGGGGTCATCAGAGGCTGTGCCCGGTATTCTATGTCCGGCAGGAAGATCACCAGCACATCTACGCGCCCGGAACCAACCGAACTGATACCACATCACTGGGCGTTTTAACTGATGTACCTCCTGGGTGATATCAATCCAGTTTTCGCCACTGTCGTCGCCGGAAGCAGTCCCGACCACGGAAGACGGGAACACGCCGACGTCTTCGCGCCACGACTCCACGGTGCCGACGGAGATGTAGCAGGAGACGTACTTGCCCTTGCCGTGCAGCTCATCGATCGTGTCCTGGGCGACGTCTGAAACGACGGCGACGACAAATAGGTTGTTGGTCGCCGTCGTTTGGGTTGCAGAGGGTTGAACGCCCGCCTCGTAAGCAAAAACGACTTTTGAATGAACGGTGTGCGGCTTCGTACTCACCCAGGTCGATGAAGAACACGTCCACGTCCACGTCCGTGTTCACCGGCGTGTCGAGGTTGTATTGCCACGAATCGCCGACTCCGGGGACCCAAACGTCTCCACCGCTAGAGGTTGAGTGCTGCTGCTGAGCCTGACCCTCTAGAGTAGGCGCCATCGTCGCTTGTTCTGGGGTCGGGGCCGGCACAGTCGGCTCCGGCGATGATGTGCCTGTTGAATGTTGGAAGTTCATAGGGGGACCGGGCACGTTTTGTGAGGTGACACTGTTCTGCGACCCACAGCATGGACGGGCAGAGGACGTATGGTCTAGACAGCTCTCAAGAAAGCGAGATAAGGGGGCGGTTTTGGTTCCGCACTCTCGACAATGAGACCGCAACAAAAGAGAGTTGATTCGTTACGGCACCGATCCATGTCCATACTGACCAATTGTGTCTAGAAAACCCCACACATGCGCGAGGGAAATAAATCAAGGTTCCCCCATCCAAAGATCAGAGAGTATTACCATGCCCCGGCTTTTTGTGTGGACGCCCACGCCACGCCTACATAATAAGACATGTTGGTTTGGGGACGCGGGTCAAAAACGCGGGGTTTGAGTCAACGACACATCGCTCCTCTTCAAGCGGTGTGTCCGTGTGATGAACCATGTCCACAAGAAAAGCCAGGGTATTCTACTGAAACAGAGAGAGTACGAAATGCAGAGATCTCTAACTATTGTGTGTGTACCGAGTAAGCATTACAAATGACTACAGTACGTGTAAAGTACGTGCATATTGCAATTGATACGGTGTACAGAGAGTTAGACTGGGTTATAGGGTTGTAAGGGGAGAAGGTCCGCTGCTCGTTGTCTTGAGTGAGGCATACACAGCAGTTGTTGCTCTACTACATCTTGCTTCATCCTCGCTCACGGGCTAGGTCTGCTCAGAGTCGCACATGAAAGTGAGAGATCACCCCAAGTGTAGTTGATTGAATACCGTGTACTGTCTGTAGTGTGTTTCCTACGGAGAGCGAAACGTTGCGTCGTGTGCTACTTAAACTTGTTGCAAAGGGGTATATCGAAGTCACCAATGATACAACACAGGATCTTGGCCGTAAAACTCAACGGCGCAAGCTGGGATAAAAGTAAAAGTCGTTCTGTCCGGCAGTTTGTTACATTTGTTTTTTAGCGTAACTAACTGCCGTTGGTAGCAGCATATTTGGCTGGGGACTACATACAGAAGCTTTCACCCGTACCCTCCAGTTCTCCCGTGTTGTTTCGTCAGGGGTGTGGGCTACATACGATGGGTTACAGGGCTACCGCGCAAACCTTCACCATGCCCTCCTTGGTTTCGAGTAAAGAGTCTCATAATCTTCTGGGGTATCTTCTGGGGTGTCGCAATGGTTTTTTCGAAAACCGCTCTTCTTGCTGTCTAACATATCATCGTAGAAAAGTTAGTGTAGTTCCGGCGGAAAGTACACACAGCAGCTCACCAACTTCACCGTCCACGAAGCACGGTGCCTGGCCCGCTACCGAGCACAGAGCCCCGTGTTCCTCGATGTTAGAAACGCAGCAGTCGTCACCGGTCAGTCCTCCGCCCCTATTAGAGCAACCGACCCCTCCACATGAACGACATTCGTGACGGCAACAAGCCTGACCGTTAAGGATGCCGTCGCACGTGAACGGGCTGTCCGATGGAGAGGTTACCGGAGGCTCGGTTGGTGTGGGCGTCGGCGTGGGCGGCGTCGGTGTCGGCGAGGGGGGCCGGCATACTTCCAACTCGGCCGTCAGGTGATCGATTTCTTGCTGCTTCTCTTCGAGGAGATGAGAGCAATGAGAGGCCTCCGTGACGTGGAGGGCAGCAACAAGAATGAAAGTGATGAGTGATGGCCTCATCATCCCGTGAAGCGACCTGACGAGCAGAAATTGCCACCCAGCCGCCCAGAGTGTAACGCACGGAGGAAGGGTGTGGTGTGTTGGATCTCTGGCGATGGTGGGGACGTGTGCGTGTGCACGAGTACCTGAACACACGTGTGTGTGCATACACCCGCGATCTTTGGATCTTTCGTGTTCTTCGACATCCGGATTCAGGATTTAAAGAGCAGAAGATTTAAGGAATAATAAAACACACACAGAAAGACTTGTTGTCGGGCAGCTGGTGGAAGTAAATATACCGCAGGCCGTTGGAATGTTACAACAACGGGCGTAGGTAGGGCTGTATGGTACTTACTCACTCTAACAGCAGTAGCCTCTGCTGATCGTATGCATAGAGAGCCCCTCAGGACAGAGACAGAGAGCGAAGGAAGGATCGTGTATGGCGGTATATGTATTATGTTGTGAGAGGTCACTCGTTGCAGACTCACTCGCTGATGATATAGAATGAATGGCGCGCATCCGACGAACGAACGCAAAAGAAGCGAATAGATACGAAGGAGTGCTATCATATGTTGTTTTTGTTTTGATTATGTTTTGCTTTATTAGGAAGTGTTCCATTCTTCTTTTGTTCAGCAATTCCTGAAGTGTTGTTATGTTATGTTCTTCGTACACCGCAATGTCTATGTGACAAATAAGAACGTTGGTATGTAATTAATGACGTCAGACAGACACACCCACATGTCGGTGATGAAACCTCAAACACACGCATCTATCGGCGACCACGTCAGGAGGCAATGGATGATGAGAGAATGTTCTCCCGTGCCATTTGCACATCATCTATCTAACGACACGAAATTATACAAAACGGTAAGAAAATTGTGAGACCACCTCCCGTGAGTCCGCACATACTCCGAAATGTGTCCGCACACATGCATACCCGGTACATACGCGTACCACACTGAAAACGTAGACATACATACAGGTACTTTCTGACGCTATGAATTCATTGCTAATCTGTCTCACGCTTTTCTATGATAGAGATGGATTCGTCGTGTCATATTATTAAGAAAAAAAAAAAAAAAAGCCTGCGGATGGCATGCGGATGGATGAAGAATGCATGGATGGATGAAGAGAATGAAACAAAGTCGTTCAGGAGGGTTTGGTGCGCGGGTAGTCTTCGTCTTTTCCCCCCTTGCCGTAGGCAACATTACATTTATGGTCGGCTGCTTCACACGCGGTTACCGGTTATCATGTTATCATTGTAAGGCGTGTACAGCAGAGGTATGCCTATTTGCTGAATGGTGGAGTGGAGAGAAACCACCGAGAGACAAACGGCAACGCCGCAATCTGAAGAGACCTACCTTTACGACAAGGGGGGGGACTACAGGTATATGTAGGCAGCACGTATGTGTGCAATGTGTCGTGTACGCACCCGCAACAATCTAGCTAGTTGTAATGATCGAGTACGCTGAGAAGTGTAAGTGCACATACATACGCGGCAAACAAACGTGTAGTGTGCACCGAAGAGGAGTAAGCAGGCGGCGCCAGAGACGGGACGAAAAAAAAAAAAAAGTGTACACACGCCATCCGTTTGAGGAGCCCTCCCGCCCACGTTTTGTTGTTGCTGCAGGATAATATTTTTGAGAGGTCAAGATCGCCGCAAGAGTTGGTAGCATCTGTACCGAGTACATGGTAGGACGCTGCCGCTCCATATCTCGAACGGGATGATTCATCAGATGGAAACAAAAACGCCTGTGAGTACACGCCACCCCCCTCACTCCCAGACACGCTCCTTCGAACCAACCGATTCTTCTGTGGACGGACTCACGTTCAGCATTGTTCAGGTGTGCGATAACCAACACCACACACAAGCGGCAGTAGCCAAATAACGATGGTGGCGACCACTATATGGCTTCGAAACACAGAAGGCAGCGCAACAAAACTGAATGAAGGTTAAACCGCCGGGCCTTCGTTGTCATTGGTGGATACTACCCGCTGCCTCCTCCCAGCGTACCATCTCCAACTAACATGCACAAGAGCTGCATGCTCCAAGTGGCTGCATGCTACATGAAAACCCAGAGACGGGCAGAGGCACCTACAAGATACGCATGTGCCATGGTCGCAAGTTCTTCAGGCTTGAAAAAAATCGAAAAGCTCAAGGCTATATATATTGTATAGCTAAAATTGTTGACGGCGGCCAAGTTCTTGCACGCGTATAGTACAGTACTGCTGTCAAGCGCTGGTGGAGTGTTCGCAGTCGGTCGGCCGTGTCGTGTGTACCAGCAGGAGCATACTGACAAAATCAAAGGGTGGCCCACGACAAAAGTAGACTACATCTGTTGTAGTTCGCAGCAAGAGCAAATAACCCCCTCCGGGCAAGCACACGATCCCCAAACACGGCAAGCACCTCCTCTCTTATTTACACACACACCGCGCTCGGTACCCATGATTCCGACCCGTCGGGTCCGCCGAACACGCATCCCCACAAGAGGACCAATTTCCGACACTTGACTGAACTGAACGGTATCCCACATGCCAATGGTCCCCCCCCTCCCCCTATCCCTCCCCCTTCCCTAACGAAAAAACTCAAGCACGAATTTTATCATTTTCGTGTTGTTGGTGACGGCTTCGTTTGTGTTAGTGACACCTTCCGCATGATTGGATAGATGCGGCAAACCGAAAAAAAGAAAACACCAAGATGAGTAAATAGTTAACATGCCGGCCTGCTAGGCCAGCCGAGCGTGGATATCCGCCGGTCAGACGCGAAGAAAGGACCACGACTACATAGAGTACACGATCCTTACGACTAACATGAAAGCGAAATGGTACTGTACAGACAACCTGGCGGAGGCGCAGCGTGGTCACGCCCTACGGCGGCACACCCTTGATCATGAATCCACACCCTGCGGGAGACGCCGAAAAACGTGACAACTATAAGAAGGACTGTACTGCTGTGCACGATGCCGTAATCACACACAAATTTCGTACAAAAAATGCAAGCGACGAAGTAACCTAACGACCTACCTCCCCCCCCCCCCTATTCAACAAAGTTGACATGTTTCACGATGCAAGCCATGGCTTGCGGCCGTTTTCTGTTTTCTCAAGGGCGACACCTGTTCATTACCGTGCCCGTCTACACTACATACCGTCACGTACCTCGGGAAACGGCATTTAATTAACTCTAGGAGCATACCTTAAAGCAAGAACTTTGAAGCGGTACGACTCAACAACGCTCCTTCCTTGGGCTTGGGGCAGCAAGCCAGGCAAGGTAAGGACCACACCGGTGCTCTCTCTAGAACAGCCAGGTGGTCACATGCAAGCTCGCGAGGCGAACACTTCGAAATAAAAAAAAAACACACACACACAAAAGCTTTGCCAAAAGGGAAAACCACACGGACTGTGGTTCACTGCCCCCTGCCCCCGAGAGCAACAATCCAAACAAAAAAAGCAGAGGCCCGAACTCACGCCCCCCTTGACAAAAAAAAAGACCGCCAACTTGCACCAAAATCTAGACTCCGTGCTCACCGGTGTTGGGTGCTTCTAGTGGGGGCCTGCCACCCGAACCAAGCCACCGAGCGCAGTCAACACGTGCAGGCGCCACAACATGCCACGATTCGGACCGATTTCCCCCCGTGCGATGTTGATAGCCCCCCCCCCCCCCCCCCT